TGTGTGGTGTGGTGGTTGGTGGTGGTGGTGGTGGATGGTGCTGCTGCTGCTGCTAAGTCATGCTACTCCTAACCATCCAGCTAGTCTGCGGGCCACCAACCACCCATCATCTAGTCAGTCGTCTAGTCAGCAACCAAGTAAGCCAGCCGGCCAGCCATCCAGGTATCCCGCAGGGCCAGCCATCGAAGGTATCCGCGGGCCAACCATCCATCCAGCATCAGCGTATCCGCCGGGCCAGCCATCCATCCAGCCATTCAGGTACCCTGTGGCCAGCCATCCATCCAGCCATCCAGGTATCAGGTATCCCGCGGGCCAGCCATGCCATCCAGCCATCCATCCAGCCATGCAGGTATCCGCGCGGCCACGCCATCCATCTAGCCATCCAGGTATCTCGCGGGCCAGCCATCCATCCAGCCATCCATTCAGCCATCCAGGTATATCCCGCGGGCCAGCCATCTATCCATCCATCCAGCCATCCAGGTATCCCGTGGGCCAGCCATCCATCCAGCCATCCATGTATCCCGCGGGCCAGCCATCCATCCAGCCATCCATCCAACCATCCATCCAGCCATCCAGTTATATCTCCGCGGGCCCAGCCATCCATGCCCGTTATCCAAGGTAGTCCCGGCGAGCTGCATCCATCCAGCCATCAGGTATCTGGCGGGCCAGCGCATCCAAGCCAATCCAGCCATCCAGGTATCCCAGCGGGCAGCCATCCATCCAGCCGATCCCAAAACGTATCCGCGTGCCAGCCATCCATACTAAGCCATCCAGGTATCCGCGGGCAGCCCATCATCTAGCCATCCAAGTATCCCGCGTGCCAGCCATCCATACCCAGCCATCCAGGTATCTGCCGCAGGCTAGCCACCATCCACAGCCATCCAGGTTATCGCGGGCCTAGCCATCCATCCAGCATCCAGGTATCCCGCTGCCGGCTGCCATACCATCCAGCCATCCAGGTATCCAGGTATCCCGCGCGCCATGCCAATCCATCCAGCCATCCAGTATCCCGCGTCGCTAGCCATCCATACCAGCCATCCCGAGGTATTCCCGTGGCTAGCTATCCCATCCAGCCATCGCAGGTAATCCCGCCGGGGACCAGCCGATCTACGGTATCCCACGCGGCGCCAGCCATGCCATCCAGGTATCCCGCGCGGGGCTAGCCATCCATCCAGCCATCCAGGTATCCCCGTCGGCCAGCCAGCCATCAGGTATACCCAGCGCGGCCAGCCCAGCCATCTAGCGTAATCCGCGGGCCAGGCGCATCCATTCTAGAACATCCAGGTATCCCGGCGGGCCAGCCATCCATCCAGCCATCACAGGTATTCCCGCGGGCCAGCCAGCCATCCAGGGTATCCCCGCGGGCCAGCCAGCCCATCAGGTAGTCGCGGGCCAAGGCCATCATCCAGCCATCCAGGGTATCCGCGGGCCAGCCATCCATCTAGCACATTCCAGGATATCCCGTGGGCCAGTCCATCCATCCAGCCATCCAGGTATCCCGCGGCCAGCCAGCCATCCACGGTATCCCGCGGCATGCCAGCTAGGCCATCTAGGTATCCGCGGGCCAGCGCATCCATCGTAGACAATCCAGGTATCCCCTGCGGGGCCAGCCATCCATCCAGCCATCAAGGTATCCCGCTGGCCAAGCCAGCCATCCAGGTATCGCGGGCCAGTCCCACGCCATCCAGGTATCCCGCGGTCGCCAGCCAGCCATCCAGGTATCCGCCGGCCAAGCCATCCATGCCAGGTATCCCGGCAGGGCTAGCCATCCATTCCAGCCACTCAGGCTATCCCGCGCCGGCCAGCCACGCCATCGCCAAGGTATTCCGGGGCCAGCAGCCATCCAGGTTATCCCGCGGGCAGCCACGCCGATTCTACGGTATCCCGCGGGTAACCATTCCATCCAGCCATCAAGGTATCCCGCGGGCCAAGCCACGCCATCCAGGTATCCCGGCTAGCCATCGCATCCAGCCATCCAGGTATCCGACGCGGGGCAAGCCAGAGCGCATCCAGGGTTATCCCGCGCTGCGTCCAGCCATCCAGGTATCCCGCGGGCCAGCCATCCATCCAGCCATCCAGGTATCCCGCGGGCCAGCCATCCATCCAGCCATCCAGGTATCCCGCGGGCCAACCAGCCATCCAGCCATGGACATCCCATATGGCTAACCAACTATCCAGCCAGCCAGACCCCCAGCCAACCAACCATCTAGCCAGACTGCCAGCCAACCAACCATCTAGCCAGACTGCCAGCCAACCAACCATCTAGCCAGACTGCCAGCCAACCAACCATCTAGCCAGACTGCCAACCATCCAGCCAGCCAGCCAGCAAGCCAGCCAGTCAGTCATTGCTACAATCTGTCGTCTCGAATAGAAGCGAACGATTTTTATCGTACCCGTGCGTTGCCTCGCTTACACAGCTCCGGCGCGCGTGCGTGCGTGCGTGCATGTGTGCGTGCGTGCGTGGGCGTGGGTAGGTGGGCGATATTGAGATCACCGGTTTACGCCGGTGCTGATTACCAGACGCGTCTGTGACTGACAGATTTGGTGCATTTTTTTCGTGCGTCAGACTAGACAATCTGTGTTATCACTCGTCTCAGACAGGCCGGGGTGTGATTGACCGGAAAGTGATTTTGTCTGTGCATGCATACATTTCTGTTGCGTTATTATTATTATTATTATTATTATTTCATCATCATCATCATCATCGTGAATGCAGTGAGTAGTGTTTAATTTCTTTTCATCCTGAAATAAAGGGATATATGCTGTTGCGTGCTGCGGGCGGTATAGGTATGTAGAGCGGTGGAATTCTTGCTCGCAGAAGACCACACAATGTCTACTGTTTATATCGCACCATATCATCGATAGAAGGAAACCAGCCTCCGCCTCATAATTATCGTCGTCATCGCCATCGTCGCGTGCTGCTGTTGTTGTGTCTTCGACTACGGGATGACTCATCGCCGACTTGTTCCTCGAGCAATTTTAAGATAATGACTAACTAATCTTTTTTTTTGTGCGCACGCATGCACGCGTGCACGTACACGCGCATGTGCGCACGCACTACCACGGCACGTCAGCGCGCTCCATATCTCCGCTTCTCGCTCTATAGTCTATCCAGTACCCGCCCTTTGCAGACAGACGCGCCGGTGTGTTGATCGGTGACTGACTGGTGGACGCAGACGCGTAGCGGTAATCGGAGAGATGTACGCCGGCTGCGCTAGCTATAGACACCTATTGCCGTCATCATTTTTCAGGTAAAGTGCTCACAGGTGTAGCCAGCCGAGTCGGTGTAGATGTTTTGCCGGGCGCTTGTCAAAGAAACAACATCAGCGTTTTTCTGTTTGATATCTCGCTGGTAGCTTATCAGCTGCTCTCCGCATACGCGCAGCCGGTCTCTCTCTCTCTCTCTCTCTCTCTCTCTCTCTCTCTCTCTCTCTCTCTCTCTCTC